AGCTGAACTCCTTCCCAGGTGGCGATGGAGGCCAAGAGAGCACTTGGGAAGAGGCCTCTGATTCATTAAGCATGGGAGGTCTATCGGCCAAATCCCTCTCTTTCCCGCCTGCCTGCTCCAGGCCTGTTTGAAGTCCAAGGCTGCTGTGGTCCTCTGAATGGCCAGCATTCATAACCAACTTTCTCCCCAGCCCAGTTAATAATTCAGGAGCGGGTGCCTACAGCCAACCCGTCATTCCAGCCCTCCTGCCACCCCGAATGCCAAGATAGTGGACAGGAAAGAAAAAATCGCCGCACCGGTTTGAAAAATGATCCTCATTTCAAGTGCTTCCTGGGTCCTCTGTGCTGCTATGGGAGAGAGCCAGGCTGAGATGTATCTGCTAGGTGCACAGCCAGGGGAGGATAGAGAGGCCCTGGGGCTTGCCGGCGTGCACACTGAGCATTGTTTAACCTTTGTTTTGGGGCAGTGGGCTGTAGCCACTGAAGAGCAAGCTCAGGAGGACCCAACTCTCTTCCTCTGATGCAGGTATTGATCCTTCACTCATGTGCTCACTCATTCATTCATTCGGGAATCACTGATGCTGCTGACACAGAAGTGGGCATCCAGGAAACAGTGAAGGGTGGGGGTTGGCACCACCCCTCAGGGAGGCGGACACATACACCCTCATGTACCAGGCAGTGAGAGCCACTACACTTGGCCTGAGACAGGAAATGGTTAACTGGGAGCTCTGGGTCAGGGTGTGGCCTGTTCCCTGGGTGTGCTGGGGGTCTTAAGTGTCCAAAGCAGAGAGGGAGGGTGGAGACAATAATGGCTAAGATCATGGACTCTGGGGCCAGGCTGCCTGGGTTCAAATCCTAGCCCTGCCACTTACACAGAGCCTCTCTGTGCCTCAGTTTCTCTGTATGTAAAATGGAGTTAGTAATGGGAGACTGATACAAATCATCCTCATATATGGTTAAAACAAAAACCAGGGCCAGGTGTGGTGGCTCACACCTGTAATCTCAACACTTTGGGAGGCCAAGGCAGGAAGATGGCTGGAATCCAGAGGTTTGAGACTAGCCTGGGCAACATAGGGAGACAAAATAAATAATATACAAAATTAGTCAGACGTGAAGGCATGCACCTATAGTCCTAGCTACTTGGGGAGGCTAAGGTAGGAGGATTGCCTGAGTCTGGGAGTTCGAGGTTGCAGTGAGCTGTGATCGTGCCACTGCACTCCAGCCTGAGTGACAGAGTGGGACCCTGTCTCCAAAAAAAAAAAAAGAAAAAGAAACAAACAAAAAAACCCCAAAAAACACCAGAAGTCTGACAAATACATAGTGTAGGCAACTAACGTTACAGCCAACTTTAGAAAGTGATTCGGCAGTTTCCTGTAAAGTTAAACATACTGCGCCACCCAGAATCCCCACTCCTAGGTATTTCTCCAAATGACATGAAAAATTTATGTTCCTACAAAAACCCATTCATGAATGTTTGCGGCAGCTTCATCATCTCCCCAAACTGGAAAAAACCCAAAAGCCTTCCAGCTGGAGAACAGATACACTATAGAACACCACACAGCCATGCACATAAACAATATGTGTGAGTCACAGATGCATTATGTACGCTAAGTGAAAAAAGCCAGGCTCAAGCGGCTCCATCCATACTGGATAAGTCCATGTATATGACATTCTGAGTCAGAAAACTGGTCCGTGGTTGCAGAGATGGGAGGAAGGATTATTACCAAGGGGCATGAGGGAATTTATGCGGAGTGATGGAACTGTTTGGTATTCTGACTGTGGTGGGGGATACATGACTGTATGTGTGCGTGTGTCAAGAATTATAGGCCTAGGCTGGGCGCAGTGGCTCACACCTGTAATCCCAGCACTTTGGGAGGCTGAGGCAGGTGGATCACCTGAAGTCTGGAGTTCGAGACCAGCCTGGCCAACATGGTGAGACCCCGTCTCTACTAAAAATACAAAAATAAGCTGGGTGTGGTGGCAGGCACCTGTAATCCCAGCTACTTGAGGGGCTTAGACAGGAGTATTGCTTGGACCCGGGAGGTGGAGGTTGCAGTGAGGCGAGATCGCGCCACTGCACTCCAGCCTGGACGAAAGAGTGAGACTCTGTCTCGGAAACAAACAAAAAGTCATATAACTGTACACGAAGAGATGAATCTTACTGTGTGTAAATTATGCCAGGCAGAGTAAACAGCATGTGTAAAGGGCACAGAGGTTTGAAATCAGGTTTGAGATGGTGTGTGGGAGCAAGTGGCAGGAAGTAAGGCAAGGAAAGCTTACTTGGGTCTGTTTGGGGTGGGCCTTGAATGCTGTGTCAATGCCTCTTTGGATGGTGGGAAAATGTTGGAAGTTTTTAAGCAGTTGAGGAAAATAAGCAGATACATGCTTCAGAGAGATGGCTCTGTTCTCTGTTTAGAAGCAGAAGCCAGGCCGGGCTTAGTGGCTCATGCCTGTAATCCCAGCACTTTGGGAGGCTGAAGCAGGCGGATCACCTGTTGTCAGGAGTTTGAGACCAGCCTGGCCAACATGGTGAAACCCCATCTCTACTAAAAATACAAAAATTAGCTGAGTGTGGTGGCGGGCACTTGTAATCCCAGCTACCAGCTACTCGGGAGGCTGAGGCAGGAGAATTGCTTGGACCTGGGAGGCAGAGGTTGCAATAAACCTAGATCACACCACTGCACTCCAGCCAGAACAACAGAGTGAGACTTTGTCTCAAAAAAAAAAAAAAAAAAAAAAAAAAAAAAAAAAAAAAGCAGAAGTCGTTGAGCACATGGGTCTGACCCTGCCTTTAGAAATGTTCTGATTTGAGTTATAATTTTTTTGAAAGAATTTGAATTTGTGGCCAGTATTTTAGAACCAGGAGATTTTACTCAGAATTCTGGATTTTTGACCTCTCTTTGAGAAGACATGGGCTTCCCAATTTGCCACCTCCACTCCCTCCCTCATTCTCTATTCCCTTCCTGGCCCTGCACGGGTGTCGGTTTTGACCCCCGGGATTGAAAGTGGATTCCAGGAGGAGGAGATCAAAGTCAGTGGCCTCTCTCAGTCCTGGTCTGAACACTTTCATCACTTGGGGAATTTTATTAAAGACCGATACACAGGCCAAGTTGCTGGGAGGAGGCTGTGCATTTTCACTTTGTAAATGCTCCCCTCCACCCCCGGTGACCCTGATGTACAGCCGGGGTTGAGAACCACTGTTCTAGGGGGAGGTGAAAGCAGGCTGGGGCTCAGCAGTGGAGGTGGAGAGGTGTTTAGGAATTGATGGGACATTGGGCTGAGGCAGGGGGAGGAGGACTCAAGCGTGATGTCCTGGCTTGGACAAATGCAGCATGATGGTGCCATCTGCTGAGAAGGGACAAGAAAGAGGTAGTCAGGAGAAGGTGGTCAACTTAGTTTTGGCCACGCTGTGTCTGAAGAGCTTGTGGCCTCCAGGCTGAGGGGGTCCAGTGTGCAGGTGTCAAACACCGCGGTGCCCATAACTTCACTTCTATGTGTTCTCCTTTCTCCTCTGAGATGGGGAAGCTAAAGAAGGTTCTTAGGGGAGGGAAGGGCTATGTTGGAGGGGGGAGATGAGGTGGCCAAGCTTCCCCCAGAGCCGCCTGCAGAGCACATGGGTTCCCTCGGTGTTATGGACTGAACTTTTGTGTCCCCTTAAAATTGCTATGTTGAAATCTATTCCCTCAAGGTGATGGTATGAACAGGTGGGGCCTTTGGGAGGTGAGCTGGTCATGGGGGTGGAGCCCCCATGAATGGGATTAGTGCCCTCACAAAAAAGGCCCCAGAGAGCTCTATCACCCCTTCCACCATGCGAGGGCATGGTGCAAAGATGGCTGTCTAGGAGCACAACTGGGCCCTCACCAGACACCGAATCCACTGGCAGCTTGATCTTGGACTTCCCAGCCTCCAGAACTATGAACAGTGAATTTTTGTTTGTAAGCCATCCAGTTTCTCGTATTTTGTTGTAGCCACCCTACATGACTAAGGCTTTTGGGTGGAGGTGGGAGGCCTTTCTCGACTGGGTCATGGGTGCTCAGGCCCTGCTGAGTGACTTTGTCTGGAGGAGAGCGGGGGAGAATGTTCTCAAAAGGGGTGCTTATACTTGAGAAGCAGAGACTCGCCACACCAGACATGTGGTACCCTCACACCCAGAACCAGTAACCCCTTCCTCAAACCAAAACATCTTACCTCCCAGCAGATGCAGTGGCTCTTTTTGGTTTTGGTCAGTAACTTTTTCTCCGTTATTCGCAGTGACTAGCCTTTCCACGCCTGAGTGAAGCAAGACAGAAACCACTGTGCCCATTTTACCCATAAGCAAGAAAAATGATACACTATGGAATATTATGCAGCCATAAAAAAGAATGAGCTTATGCCCTCTGCGGGGACATGGATGGAGCTGGAGGACATTATCCTTAGTAAACTAAGGCAGGAACAGAAAACCAAATACTACATGTTCTCACTTAGAAGTGGGAGCGAAATGATGAGAATACATGGACACATGGAGGGGCACAACACACACTGGGGTCTATCAGAGGTTGGGAAGTGGGAGGAGGGAGAGGATCAGGAAAAATAACTAATGGGTACTACATTTAATGCCTGGGTTATGAAATAATCTGTGTAGCAAACCCCCGTGACACACATTCACCCATGTAACAAACCTGCACATCCTGTACATGTGCCCCTGAACTTAAAAGTTAAAAAATAAAAATAAAAAAAGAAAAGAGAAAGAAATACATTACTTTAGTCACTATCAATTGCTGGGTAATTGATACACATTTCCATGTAATCCACATAACCATCCTATGTATGAAATAGGGGTTACTATCCCCATTTTCCAGATGAGGAAACTGAGGCTTTGAAAGTTTAAGTATTTGCCCAGACTGCCAGTTCAGCAGTGGCAGAGCTGGTAGCCATGCCCAGCTCTCTCCATGGTTTAGTGTGTTTGTGGCCCACCCCTCCTGTGAGCTCGGCCGGGAACGCACACACAGACCCACACGCATATGACCTCTCCAGATACCTTTTATTGTCTTTTTTGGCCCCTCAACTTTCCTTCTGGTACCTAGTGGATGTCTTCATGGCGGTCTCTGGCCTCTTTTCCTTTGTGGGCAGACTCACTTCAATGTCTGTGAGGTCAACCCAGGGAGGGGGTTTAGTGTCCCCAGTAGGAGAGGGGCAGACTTTGGCTTTTCCATCCACCGAGACGGTGCTCACAAAATGCTCCAGAGCTTCCTCATCGCAGCCGTTCCCGGCTGGGTTGGACTCTGTCACCATGAAGTGTTTCTCACGGCATTGTCCTGCCCTCGTAGTCACTGCCTCAGTCATCGGAACACAGGATGGCTCCTGGCCTCCTTTCTTGACATGAATGAGGCATCGGGAAGCCTTTGCTCCTGAGAAGATTCTGGGCTGAAGATGTCCAGAGACAGTGCTCAAATAAAAAAAAAAAAAAAAAAAAAAAAAGAAAGATGGAGAAAAGAATGGAGGAAGATTCCTGAAGCTTAGCTGGGATTACAGGTGCCCGGGAACGGGGCTCCCTTTACACCGCCCTCTAATGTTCTCGCTAGACCTACTCCCTCTGTGCTGGTGGCATCCCTGGCCGCTCCTGA